CTGCCACCACGCCCGGCTAATTTTTTGTATTTTTAGTAGAGATGGGGTTTCACCATGTTAGCCAGGATGGTCTCAATCTCCTGACCTCATGATCCACCTGCCTCGGCCTCCCAAAGTGCTGGGATTACAGGCTTGAGCCACCGTGCCCGGCGGGAGGTAGAACTTTCATTGAATGCCTTTTCCAAAAGCTCACCACTGTGTATTCTGCGAAGTGCCTTGGTCACTATCAGTAATGTCTGGTCAGAAAGGTGTGTTCAGGTGAGGTGCTGTATTGTGGCCTTGACACCTGTTACTTTGATTTATATTCTGGGTATCTCTGAGGCAAGAGATTCCCAGAGATCTTTACCCCAAAGGGGGCAACTCTTAGGCAATGGCCTAAAAATGTACTGACAGTATCATTTTTTGGCCAGGGTTAGGACATCCAGTGCTAGGACGACTGCCTGAAAGTGGCCCACTGGTGTTGACCCTTGGTCAGGGGCATCCTGAATAAAGGATGGAAAGCAGCAACATTCCACCGAGCTCCAGCATGTATAGTCTAGAAACTCCTATTTCTGTTCAGTTAATCTCATAGGGATCCTCAGGTAGCCAAGGACCTCCTCCAGTACCATGGCATTTGCCAAGAGATTGAGAAGAAAGGAAGCCACCCCGCCCGCAGATGGAGTATGCCAGACAGCTCGGGTGTGGCTCCATCCCACATCAAGGAGGTTTTGGTAGCTGTGCCAAACTTGCAGGGCACTGCTTCTGTGACCCAAGGAACGATGGGCAGCTGGTATGGAGGGTCACAAGCTCAGGACCTGTAAAAGCCTCCATTTCCAAGAGACCCTAGTATGTGACCAACAGTTGTTGCTCTAATGATGTACAGTGCAATGTCAAAGAGGACAGTTTCTTGCATCAGGGGCTCATGGGCAATTTGTGGCCATCATGAGTTATAAGAGAAGGCCGCGAAAGCCCCTATGGTAAAGGGGTCTTTGAGGAGACTCATGGGATTCCTGCCGTATTGCAATGTGGACAGATTCTAAAGCCTTTTGTTGAAGGGAATCTATTCAAGGTGAGCCAACTTGCAAGTAACAGCATCAGTGAAATTAAGTAAAACTTGTAAATGAGGAATATGTCACCTCTAGATCTCAAAGAGGACTAAAAGATATTCGTATTAACATTGTGTGTACTGAGAAAGTCAATAGCTGCTTCTTGATGGTGTCAGGGAAGAAATGGCCCTCAGATTACCAAATAGCTTTCAGGAATTTAACAGAGGTGACAAGACCCCTCACACAACATGTGGAGACCACTTTTTGTGTGCTCCTTTTTCAGTACTTGTATGTCCTGAATTTGTGTGTCAAAAGTAACTTCTCAAAAGATGTTGTCAGGGTAATATCATAGTTGTCCTCTTAGAGAAATTTGGATGCAGCTGAGATCTTTCCTACAAAGACTATATGATGACAAGGCTGCTACAGTACCCCGTGGATAACCTGGTAGAGGCATACTGTGTCCCTTTAAAAATGAAGGAAAACTACAGCCTAGAGGCTGTTGAAATAGGCTCTGAACAGAGCATATTAGCCATGTGATGGCTAATATGGAGTGTCAACTTGATTGGATGGAAGGATACAAAGTATTGATCCTGAGTGTATCAGTGAGGGTGTTGCCAAAGGAGATTAACATTTGAGTCAGTGGGCTGGGAAAGGCAGAGATACCTTTAATCTGGGTGGGGCACAATCTAATCAGCTACCAGCATGACTAGAATATAAGCAGGCAGAAAAAGGTGAAAAAGACTGGCCTAGCCTCCCAGCCTACATATTTCTCCTGTGCTGGATGCTTCCTGTCCTCAAACATCGGACTCCAAGTCCTTCAGTTTTGGAACTTGGACTGGCTCTCCTTGCTCCTCAGCCTGCAGACAGCCTATTGTGGGACCTTGTGATGATGTGAGTTAAGACTTAATAAACCTATCTATACATATATATATATACACACACACACACACCCACACACAAGTACACACATTCCATTAGTTCTGTCCCTCTAGAGAACTGTAACACAGATTTTGGTACCAGGAGTGGTTCTAAAGGAACAGAATATTAAGTATGAAGTTCTTTCATTGGTTTTGGGGTTTCTGGAGTTGGCTGCTTGCTATGATTAGACCCAAAAATGCTAAGGGCTCTACTTCTAGTAGTATGAAAAACACTGATAGTCCTTGGCATGAACTGTTTAGATAGTTATGCAAAATAAACACACTGACACTCCTGATTCATTGCTCGTGAGAGGCAAGGAGTTTAGTAACTCTATATGTAATACCTTTGACCATATGTGAAGAACTAAGGAACATAATGAAGCTGCTTGCTTGCTCCTACATTCAGTGGACAAAGTGGTGAAAGAAAATGATTAACTAGGCCAGGCGCAGTGGCTTATGCCTATAATCCCGGCA